CTAAACTATGGATGGCAGCTTTATTTCTTCCACGGTTTTTTAAATGGGGGAATAAATGAAGCAGAAGGGACCGGCCAAGAGCAGGAAGGCCTGCAGGGAGGAGTAGCTGCTTGCCTCTGGCCCTTCTTGACATGGTGCCTGTTCAAAGTCATGTGCCCAGCTAGCCGTGATCAAAACTCTCAGGTTACCATCTGGCTATGCATTATGCTCAATGCTGTGCTACACATTATGATTGTCATGCAGAGTATTAATAACTCCTTATTTTTAAAGCATAAACATGAGAGTGTCCTGCCCCAGGATCCAGATCAGGGTTATATCGGCCATTGGAAGGGGAGATAGCTAAGGCTGGCTGCTGGCTGTGCATTTTTTGAAACACTAAGCAGATGGCACTATTTGCGCAAACTGGAAGCCAGAAACCGCAGCTCTAGTGCAACATGCACAATTCATGATATAACTTTGTAGATGCTGGTATCCAGTATGTCAAATCACATACATTTGTTCAAATTTCCTTCATACTTTTTAAAGTGCAAACTTCAATCTGTCTTAGAAACAGAAGTCTGGGAAAAAATGTCAGACTTGGCTCACCTCTAACAGATCAGAAGCAGACAGGAAATGTGTCTGGTTCAAACACACTGCACCTCCCGGAGACAGTGAATCAGTACCTTCGGCACCAATGAGAACCCTTCTTTCTTTTGCCATTCAGTGCCCGAGGCGATTCAGGATTGTGGTGGGGGAAGGAAGGATGCAACCTTCTCTCCCGTTCTTCTGCGCTCCCAGCCTGCATCAGCATCTCAGACTTACTTTTACAGAAAACAAATGAACAAATGCCGAGCTTCACACTGTGCATTTGATGCAATATGTATCCTGAGTCCACCCCAGGGAGGGAGCTTAAAACACTTGCAGCACAGGTTCCATGCAGAGCAGATCACTGTACTCTGCATGGTAGCTGCTGTGCGCGTGTTTTGTGCCTGTAACTTGTTCAGTGTTGACGGCCTCTATGGCTGAGCTGGGTCTGATCAATGCAAGCTTTGCATTGGATGCAGGGGAGATTCATACTTTTTGGAGGCTGTGCATCAAAAGTGATTGAGTTTACTATGGAGTGGGGGCGCGTTCGGTTCCTTCTCCATTATTTCAATGTATGAAAAGCCATGTGAGATCGATACAAACCCTCCTTCAGCTCATCTTGGAATCAAATAGCCTGATTCTTCCAGCGCTCAGTGCATAAATATGTCAATGCTTAATGATAATAATTTTAAAAGACGAATGGCTTCTTAATTACTATTTTGATATTAACAAAATATCAAACCACATCTTGTGCTATTGAATGGGAAGCCTTGAAAGTTTATACGAAACGAAGGATTATTGAATTTGCTCCTCATGGGGAAAAAGAAAAGAAAAAAAGCTTAAGGTCATTCAGGAAGAGGAAATGCATAAAATAGTGAGATTCTTATTATGTCAATTTGCAGCTTGTCCCTCCACAGACGTCTATCAAAGCCTGCAATGTGCTAAATATTAATTGGACAGGATACATTCATCTAAAGTAGAATTTGCATTTCCTTGTCTGTATCTAAGATATTGGGAAAGCAGAAAAGGCCATGGTAAGATTTCCACACTTTGGTTAAACAAACAAATAAACAAAACCAGAACTAGATTTTCGTGATCAAAGATGATAATTGTGTGTATGTGTGTGTGGAAATTTAGTGTTTCAAAATGTTTATTCTGGACTTTATGGGAGTAATAGGGAGCCTTTGCATCAAGAATTTGATATTTTCTTTTTGGATTGGTCCTTCCACGAGCGGATTTGCAGCAAAAGGATCTGCGTGCGAAACCTTTGTGGCTGAAAGTGGTTCAGTGCACCAGAATGAACATGAGGAATGGGGAGCCTCGGGGCCTGATGGTTTTCCTACAGAATTCTATAAGGTGCACGCAGGCTTCTTGACTCCTAAACTTTTCTATCTTTATCATGGGGCTTTTGAATCAGCAAATTCACCTGCCCTTTTATACAACGCTTATATACCAATTACCCACAACCCTGCCAAAGACCACACCAACTGTGCAGATGATGGACAATCCCCTTAACTAGTGTGGATGCTAAAATATTAATGACAATTCTCACTTCAGCGTGCAATATGCACATTAGAAGATCTTGATCAAGTATGATTTATTTACCAGAGACAGGAAGCAGACAGGCAACACATATGGCCCACTTGGTTTTGGACTACAGCTCCCATAAGCCCCAGCCACAATGGCTAATGGTCAAGAATCATGGAATTTGTAGAGCAAAACGTCTGATGGACACCAGTTGCCTTCCCCTGCATTGCATAAAGTGATGGTATGATGCAGTTCCATGAAACATGCACATTGCATCCCTACGCACACACAAACACACCTGCATGCAGGATGACCTGAACATCACACACACCCACGACTCACATGCAACCTAAACACAGGACAGGACCCAGAGAGAACACAGCCCTTTGTGCTCATACTCTGCCTGTCCCCAGTCTTGTGGCATGCCCCTACACTCTGCTCTCCCTAACAGACTTCCCACCATGTTCCCATCATCCTCACCCAGCACATCTCCTTCAAAATAAGAGGGGGAAGAGAACCATTGTGCACCCTGGACTCTGCCTCAGCCTCTGGGCACACGGTATTTAAACCGAAGCGGGGCATGTGCAATGTGCACACAGGTATGTTTTATTGCTTCCATTTATTTATTTTGTCTATTAGGTTTGTGTGAAGGCTGCCCATTAGCATCGCGTGCTCTGCATCCACAGCTGTAACCTCTGCAAAGCAAGCAGAGGACACCCACGCAAAGGAGGGCACCCGGGCAAAGCTCCCGTCTTCCAATGGGAAGGAATACACAGGTGTCTTGGAGCGCCTGTGCTCTTTCAGGCAGGTTGCAGGCCAGTGGGCATCACGGACTGGCCCGGTGGAGTGTCTGCTGAAGGCTAATATCCCAGGGAGGCCCACAGCCCAACGTCCGATGAACTTGCTCCTCGTCTTCTGCACTGCCACCGGCCTGCTTGCCCATCCCGGTCTCACAGTGGTGGTGGTGAGGAGGGACAGGAGGTGCCACCACCTGCTTCTTTGCGAGGAGGAGGAAGTGGGGAGCGAGAGCAGCAGGCGAGGAGGAGGCAGACGCACCTGGTGAGAAAGCCCAGTGAAGGAGCCTTGCCCCGGAACCTGCAAAAGCACGGCGCCAGCCATGCATGCAGGGAGGCCGGTTGGAGGGCCCTCAGCCTCGTACTCTTCCAGAGGGCCTCCCGCTGTGCTCGGACACATCAGCCCTGCTAATATTCTGCAGTGCCCCTGACACGCGGCTGCTCTAGGGCAGGGCCAGGCAACCGGGTGCCGTCCAGATGTTTTGAACTACAAGTCACACAAGCCTTGGCATGTGGACAATGGGAAGGGATTCTATGGGCTGTCATCCAAAACAGCTGGAGGATCCTATGTTGGAGGGTGCTGCTCTTGCTCTTGGGATGGGGAAAATGCCTGGAAGTCCTTAACCATACTTCATGGATGTAGGCTAATGAATGCTTCTGTCAGGATTGTGCCAGGACAAGATTGAGACCAGGCTTAGTCATAATTAGAGGAGACCTATCAGAATTGATGGGCAGAGTTAGTCATGACTAATTCAAGTCTCTGGGATTTCAGTGGGTCTGCTCTAAGTGTGACTAAATTTGGATCCACTCCAAGATCTCCCAGGAATCTAAAAAGTGCTATTAAATGCAAAGGCGGTGGAGCTTTTACCCCTTACTGTATGCATCCTTTTCATAGCCTAAGCACTATGACTAAAGCTGATAGTTTTAACAGCAGAGCTAAGCAAATCATGAGTGTCTTATTCAAACAAAGCCAGGGTCTTATGGTACCATTAGAATATCTGCAAGCAGATTATTATTCCAACTTTAATAAAATAAAATTTAAAAACCCATATCATTTTGTCTCTTAAATGGATGAGTGTGGGCACCTCTGCTCTAGATACTGGAGTGTGCAAGTTTAAAAATGGATTTCTAACAACTCTTTCCCTTCACCTATGAGTGGCATTTTGTAGATCGATCTTTCCAAAGAAAGTATTTCATACAGCAAGAGGAAGTAATGGACAGTGTGAATGAACGAGGCACCTTTCTCTGGTGTCACTAAAGCCCTCTTCTGAAATTAAAACTGTGCCCGCAGTAGCGTTGCCACAGCCCCAAACAAACAAACAAATAAATAAGGGCACACAGATGTCCTTGTGCTGAATAATATACGTACAAGCACATTTACAAATTATGAATAAGCTTCGAACAGAAATTCATTGCATTTCTCTGTAGTGGGAAGATTGTGGGCAGGTGACCTGTGTGCTCGCTGCTCAGTCCACTGCCCAGGTCCTAACTGTGGATGGGAAACTTCAAGGCCCGGCTCTTTCGTATGGTTCCTTATTTTTAAACAAAACTTTTGCTCGGAGCCACTTTGAATACGGGACCCTTTCCAGCAGATGCTTAACATGAGGGCAACCTGTAGCTGTTTAGCACCTGAGCTGCTATTTTATACCCGGCTCTGGTTGGCAGACGTCAGAAATCTGGCAGAAGATGAACCACAAAGGAGACCCTGCAAGCCTGGAGATGCCTGGTGAAACAACAGCTCCACCATGTCGATTTTTAACAAGCTGAAGGCCATGCCCAGTCTTCAGATTAACACAAGCACTGATCTGTGCAGACACAGGAATTTTAGGCTCTCCTCTTCAAGTTTCAGGTTCCTCCCATTCCCTCTCTCACAGTTGCAAGACCTCCATAAGGACTGGGGGAGGGGGCTCCCCTTATCAGGAGAAACCTCTACCTCTATCAGCCATGGCTAGCAGAAACATTTCTCCCTTGTCCAGAGAAGCATGAGGATCTCTCTTTATGATCTCTTGTACATGAGATGCTAAGCATGTGTTCGTGATCAGAATGATCCGAGAGGCAGCACAGCAACAGATGCGTGGTCCCCTGCTCCTCAGCTCCCCATAATAAGGCACTTACGGTCCGCAACTCTGGCTGAGAGGATCTGGTTGAATTTCTCTGGAGACTCCACATTCTCCTCGTCCGTGATGTATTCAAAGCTGATAATGAACATCATGGCCACTCCCTCTTGGTTTTTCACTGGGATGATGTGGGTGCTGCAAATGAAGGTAGACCCTAGAAAGGAAGAGGGAAACACACTCAAAGGGCTGTAAGTGAAATCTCCTGGCCTCCAGTGACAGCCAAGCAAGGAATTCTATGAGGATGTCTGTTCAAGAAAGAAATGATTTACTGGATGCTGTGTTTGTTTTATCATTTTGGTTGTTCCTTGTTATAAGCTGCCCTAGGACATCAGTGGTTGGATGGGGCATAAAAGTTTAAATAAATAAATAAATATCTTTATTTAAGGCATTTGAGTGTTTCCTGACAATTCATCAATTATGTACTACATCCAAGAAATTCTCTCATTTACATCCCTAGCAGTGTAGTCCTGTCCATGTCTACATAAGAGGTACATCCCACTAACTTCAATTAGAGTGTGTGTGTGAGTGAGTAAGCGAGCAAGCGAGCAAGTGTAGGATTGCAGGCCGCTTTTCTTTGCTGCAGTTTGGTGTTTGGTAAATGCTTCAGCAAAGCTTCCTGGGCCATGGAACTCCCTGCCATGGAGCTGCTGGTAGGCAAATTCCTCCTCCCCCCGCCCCCCGGCCGCCCCACCAGCCTTGCCTTAGACATATAAGCCAGTGTGCTGCTAAGGTGGTTTTGAATTGCCCAGATGCTGTCAATTTCTTTTATTGTTGTAACTGATTGCATTTTAATGCATTTGTTTTTATGATGTGGTCTAATTCAGATTCTGTTTTTCATCTGCATTTTATTATTTAAGCTGCTTGGAGTGCCATTTTAGGAGGAAAGGTGAGATATATATCAATTTGAGAAACAAGCAAGCAAGGAAGCCCCATGGGCTTAGAACATGGGAAGATACTCAGCACCAGCCATTGTACCCTCTAATCAGTGCTGCTTAGCATGAAAAAAACTCCCTTATTCCCGTAAATTTCAGCTGTTGAATGTATGGCTTGGCTAAAAGGAAATGTAAAATATGCAACTTGATGTTTTCCAGTTCTTGTTGCAGTGACAAATATATATTCTTTCTCAACTCTCCCAATTCTTATGGAGGAAAAGGAGCACTCATCAAGATGGCTTAGAAATTTGGTGATGCTGGGAAATCTAGCTCGTTTGAGCTCAATGTATTTCTGCCCAGTTCCAAGTCACTCTTTATAAACATACACAATATATTATCTCCATCATCAGAGGCGAAATGCTTCTTAACTCCACTCTCTTGCCTTGCTTGTGAAGTGAAATGGAAGGCTGCTCTTACGAGCTTATGGATTAGAACATTTTCACTTTTGGGGAAATTTTTTTGAGCAAGAAACTTTGAGAATGACCCTAAACACCCAGCCAAAGTAATAGTGAAGTGGTTTAAAAAGAAGAACCTGAATGTCTTAGAAGAGCCCAGTCAAAGCCCAGATTGAGAAACAGCATAAAGACTCGAAAGTTGTTGTTCCTTAAAGGGCCTGATCCAACCTGTCCAAAATGGGAGCAATTTTGTCAGAAAAAAACAAGCAGAATCCAGATGCACAAGGCTGACAGAGCCTGACCCAAGAAGACTGTAATTGCTGCCAAAAGTATTGACTCAGGGGAGTGACCACTTGTGTCACCAAGAAGTGACAGCTTGTTCTAACTTTCATTAACATAATTTGCTCCTTCATAGGATTGAGTATCTTATAAACATCAAATTGAAACATGTCAATTAAATCTCAATTGTAGGATGTAAGTCAACAAAATATGGAAAAGTCAAAGGTGTGGGGGTGAATAATTTTGCAGAGCACTATATTTTAGACAGAAACAACATTGCTTTTATGGAAGTGACATGGTGACATGTACAGTGGTAGCTTGGCTCATGAACTTAATCCATTCCAGGACTCCGGTTGTGACCCAAATTGGTTGTGAGCCTAGTTAAATTTCCCCATAAGGTTCAATGTAAATAAGGTTAATCCATTCTGTAACTATTTTTTTAATCAGAAAAATGTAACGCAAAGTGACAAAGAACAACAAAGATCATGGTCATCTCCCCCCCACCACCCCGAGCATGAGCACAGCCATCTCCCCGCCCCCCCCCCGGTACGACTGCAATCGCACCCATCACCCCTGCCAGGATAATGGGCGCGATCACAGGCAGGCTCGGGGGGGATGGATGTGATCGTGGGCACGCTTGGTGGGGAGAGATGGGCATGAACACAGGCACGCTGGGGAGGGGGAGAGACGGGTGCAAACACAGGTGTGCTTGGGGGTGGGGGAGAGATAGGCACGACCGTGCTGGTGGGGAGATGGTCGAGATCGCGGTTGTGCTCGTGCAGGAAAGACAGGTGCGATCTCGGCCATCTCCCCCCTGCAATATGATCGTGGCCATCTCCCCACTCAAGGGACTGGGGAGATCGCTGTGATCACAGTCACCACCCAATGGGGAGTTCGCGACCTGAGTCAATTTCTTAATGAAATTTTTGTTCGTGACCCGATTTGGTCATGAACTGAGGCATTCGTGAGCCGAGGTACCGCTGTATTTGAAGCAGACAGATACTAAACACAATGCAGCTAGTGCAATTCAGCCAGTTTCTCAAGAAGGACTGTCTCTCCATCGATTTCAGTCAGGCTTTTAGCCGTCACTAATATTGGGTACTTTGGGTTGTGCCATGCTTGCCTAAATACATAGGATGCCATCTGTGCGATGCTTGTTTCATCTACTCACATGTATAGTGGATTTCAACCAGCATCTACTGGGCAGACAAATGCATTTTTACACAGCAGCTTCAAGGGATCTCAGTAAACCCAACTATTTTCTTAAGGTTGTATCCAGCATTAGCCCTGCCTAGAGTAGATCCACTATCATTAATTGGATTTAAGTCAGACTAAAGTTGGATTTATTAAAGAAATTCTTGAATAACTGAATTGCTATAAAATAATCCCAAACTTTGATAAAACTAATCAAACTCAGCACAAATACAACTTTACGACCCCCCTCCCGTCTACCTTCTCTTATTCACCCCACACTCCAAGAATATTAATTGGATTCAAAGGCAGACATTATTTAGTATTATGTACAAAATGAAATTTCCGAAATGAAGAGTTCTTTTAAAACTCCCTCTGGTATTTTTACAGTTTTTGTCAGTCTATTTGTTAACCTATTCCATTAAGGTAAGTTCAGCTACAGTCTGGTAAAGCATGCAGCCCGTAACACAATGGATACAAAAATACAACGGCAATCAAAACTCATCATCCAAAGAGGCTGAGAAGGAAAAGAGGGGAGTCGCTGAAATGGTTAGAGACATCGCTTTCCTTTGTTCAGTTCAGTTTATTAATTACATCAGTGACTAGCTAAGGCAATAATATCACAGTGAAAGCTGAATGCATCTAGAATGCAGAATCATCAAAAACACAGAACATCTAAAAATTCAAAATCACTTATCACAGAAGGTTAACTTTGACAAAGCTTTCTTTATATTTTAGTGCTGGGCACTGGCCTTTTTTGATTTTCCTTTCCCCTGTTATTCTGCTGATTTAAAAGCAAGCAAGCAAGCACGCACACAAGCAAGATACTATCCTTCACAAATTCAGATGAAAACCCTCATGGATAAAGTGGCTATTTATCATTGACCAAAAAAAAAAAAAAAAAAAAGGATAAAATGAGGACACAGATTTGCAGAGATGTTGTATATGCTCATTTCTATGCACAGAGGTACAGTTAGAAATGATTGCAATAATTTCAGGGCAGTGTTGGCTGTGGGTGTCGGAGAGTCTTGGGGTAAGACGCCCCGTAGGGCTTCCCACTTCAGTGGAACAACCCCCCCCCCATGGCTGTTGCCAGTAGCTGCTCTTGCTCACCCTCCTATTTCTCAGCGCTGCTGCTACCCCTTGCTCGTGAGTTTAGACTAGAGCAAGCTGGAAGTGGCACCATTGCCTGGGACAGAGCGAGAGCGAGAGGGCAAGAGCGGCTGGATGTAGCGCATCATGTCGCCTCCAGAACTTTCCTTGGGCAGGATGCATTTTTTTACAATGTCATTAGACTACTCCTGTAACGGGAGGCATTCATCCCGTCAGTAATGCGATCGCCGTAATAAGCACCAAGAGACAGTTTGGCTACCAGTTGCATCTACGAGAGAATTATCTGGTCATAATCGCAAAAGGCTGAAGCTAATGCAGATGAACTGTGATTTATCCAGTCAACTCTAGACATTAATGGGGTTCCTTAAAAGGTTGCTCTCGTCTTGATGACAGTGGGAAGAAACCTGGAATTATTTCCACTGGAGTGCTGCTCTTGGTATGCTCTGTTCCAGTCTCCATCCATGCGCACCCAGACAGCAAATGAGCAAGACGCAGCGGTCAGCTGGTCCCGATTTTCCACGCTATGGTGACAAATTCCTTCTTTCTATAGAAATAATAATGATTGTTTCAAATTGATGCACATTCTCTGGAAACCACTTTCCTCTTATTTGATGATGTTCATCTGCTTTTTTGATGATTCACACGTGATCACCCTACCTGTGTTGGCCATAGCACCCACTGGCTGGGGATGCTGGGGCCTGTAGCTCAACACATCTTAACACACATCACATAATCTAATCTCCCAAAAAACTGTTTTTGGAGCTGTTTGGTATATATGATGGCGTGAGCTATGCATAAAATCTGACAGGTTTTGCCTTTGAAACATTGTAGCTTCAATCCATTTGGTAAAACAGTTCCATTGTGACACCTGCCACCGTTTCCATGGGAACAAACAGGATGACTTTAGTAAATAGAAAATAAGCAATTTAAGACTCCTCTGTTTGTGCTAAAAATAGAAAGGCTGCAGGCCACATGCTGAAATCGAGACTGGTTAATCAGAGAATCGGAGGCGAGGCGAGACAGAACAGTTCCATTTTCAGTTAATGTACCAAAATACATACAGACTTTAAAGGGTTCCCTAACCCTTTCCCGATTCATTGGGAAAGGCACTGCTGCCACATGGCAGGCATCTGTTCGGCCTCTAATGGGCATTGTAGTGTGCAGATCCTTTGCCCTCCCAAGCAGTTGAGAGGTCAGGGAGAGGGGCTGATGTCTCCCCATCCTGTTCCCTCATTCCAAGCTCG